ATACAGACATTCTTCACTACAGATAGAGGTGACAGTACAGGTTCGTGTGTAAGACACAAGGTCCGCAGCACACAAATCTCAAGCCCCAACTGCAGTAAAGAACCACAGTTGGAGGAAACCGACTTTCCGGTGTCGCAGTCACTCCTACGTGCCCTCGAGGGAGTCCAGTACATCGCCGACCATCTCAGAGCTGAGGATTCAGACTTTTCGGTAGGTTTCAGAGCTCTAACTTCACCTCCTGAATACAGAAGCAGCACCAAAAGCATGCGTGTACCATTTGCCAGGTAGTACCTTCTTCTTCACCTAGGAAAATCAGTTCTACTACATCACCATTTTTACCATTTCATTTGCATCTTAGCTTGGTACACCAGGCAATGGTGAGACATAAGAGCCACATACCAACCAGGTTTTAGATTCGTTGGGCCACTTTTAGCTGGATTTGTCATAGAAATAAAAAGTCAGAGGTAGAACACTACCCTCGTACACTGAAATCAGCCATCCGTTAAAAATGAGAAGACTTGAAGATATAAACTTGCATCATTTTCTTTCTTCCTACCAGGTAAGAGAAGACTGGAAGTACGTTGCCATGGTGATTGATCGAATATTTCTCTGGATGTTTGTGCTGGTGTGCATTTTGGGTACAGCGGGACTGTTTCTACCGCCTTGGTTGGCTGGAATGATCTAGAATCCGACACGGAGCTCAGCATTGGACAAGAAACCCACCAGATCCAGATCCAGATCGTTTGACTGTACACCTGCAGTATCACAATATGACATTCGAGAACGTCCGGAGTGGCTAATGTAACGACGAAGCATTTTTTTCAAGGTCAGCTTGATATGCTTTCAAGGCATAAAACGCTTTATTCCTGTCCTTTCAACAACAGCCACTTTCTGTCGCCAAAAAAAAAAAAAAAAAATCTGAAATGTTCCTTCGGCTGTGTATATCCCGATTAAATCCGTGCTTTAAATCTGTGCCAATTCTAACCACATGCCTTCTTGCCATTTGTTATATATTAAAGCTTCTGCTACAAAACTGTACTTAAACCATAGGGGAGTCAAATTTAAGTTGAACGTATTGACAGTACATAGGCAACTTCGTATTTACATTTATTGAAGAACAATATAGATATTCCTGTACCATATTTGTACTGTTATTGGGGGGGGTTGTAAATAAATGATTCAATAGACTGAATTCACTGGGCGGCCATGATACCCTAGAGCTCTATTTGTCATCTCTGTCTAAACAAATTGTCAGAAGTAGCATCGTGCTCTATCTAATGCTGATTATAGCACTAGATATACTGCTAGAATACACCACCAGTACTTGTCCACATACACAAACAATGGTGGGATGTACAGATGAGCTCGTGTGTCGCAGTCCATTCTGTCAGCCCGACTTGGAAAGCTGTAGCCGGATCCTAACTAGCGAAGTTTGATACAAGTTTGAACAAGAGAGTCACATTTTCAATCAAAAACAACATTTCCTGAACGTCCTTCCGTGAAAACTCTTCAATGCTTCGTCAAATATAGAAACCGAGATGGTCTTCGGCCAAAGCAAGGGACCAAGACCAGTACTCAAGTGTCTCCAAGATTGTTAAACATCATGACAAGTTGAGAAGTGGTGTCATTCTCTCCAGTGGACACTGCAGTAAATATTAATCATGGGGACGATGTTAATAAAATATAGGTATACATTACCATATCTTAGCTTTTCTGAAATTCTGGAGTTGACTAGAATACTGGCAGATATTTCCTTCCAAGAGGACGTTGAATCCCATTACAATCCACATTTTGAATTGATCATAGTGCCCAGTCTAGATCTGCACGCCAGCAGAGGAGGATTCTGGACTGTTTTAATGTCCAAAATAGAGAATAGATTTATTCTCCGTATTTGCTAAGATTGTGTGTTCGGGTTAATCCTGCTGTAGCTAATTAACATGCTAATCGAATGCCAGCATGAGTAAACAGAGGCGAGAGAACAGGACACAGGTTCGAAAATGTTTATTAAAAGCATCGTCGGTGAGTTCACCTACCGTCTTTTCTCTTATTGATCTCACGAGTGGTGAAGAGGATATACGGACAACGTGGAAATATTCTCAAAATTACAGTGTGACATAAGGACACCGGGTTTTTTCTTTTTTTTTTTTTTTTTTTTTTTTTTTTTTTTTTTTTAAAGTAAAGAACAAATGAAATGAACGGTCATTTCGACAGTTTTGTAAAATGTTACAAGAGGTTGTTCTGGCAAATTTCCACTTTAACACGAGCTCGAATCACATCGTAGTAAAAAAAAGGAGATAGGAATGTGTCAAAACTCGGTCATTTTCTTATGCGTATCTGCCTTCTTCCGAGCTCTCTGGATAGACTGCTCCTGAGCCTTCAGCTGCTGCAGGAGCTTACGAGATGCCGAGAGCTTCTCTTCCACATGACTAATAACTGCAGCATCCCTAGGCGAAAAACAGTGAGAGAAAGACAAAAAACAAACAAAAAAAAAAAACACTTCATGAGAGGAAAAACAAAAATAAGAGGGAGGGGGGGTTTTGGAGCACAGGGATTGACAGCTCTGCTTACCTTCCATTTCTCCTGCTCAGAGAGTCAGTGAGCCGCTGGATTTCTTTCTCCACCTGGCTCATCTTCTCGGAGGTCTGGAAGAGTTGAACATTAAGTGAGCGCTTGGTGCTCTTTCCAGCCTGGTACACCTCCACACCGCTGACGGAACAGGAAGGAGCCGAAGCGGACCGAGTGGAGTCGTCTCCCAGTTTAGAGTTCAGAAAGTCGAACACGTCACGCCGGGTCGACGTGGAAGTCCGCTTCCTCTTCCTTTTCCTTTTGCTCAAGGCGGGATTGTTTTTGGCGACGGCAGCCTGAGTCTTGCGCTGCGTTAACTCGGCACACTGGTCCAGCGAGCGGCCTTTCGGGAGCACCACGGCCTGCACGGGCTCCACGCGGCCCGAAAGCGTTTTCCCCAAACCTGCACAAACGCCTGAATGTCAGCTCGACAAACACTGACGCTGAGAAAATCAAGAGTCCGACCTCATAAGACCTCAGACCTAAATAAAAGCCTGCCATGACTAGGACTGGAATGATCGTGATTGCGTAACAGTTACTCCCGGTCCACTAATCTGATTGGTCGAGCAGCGTTCCAAGAGTGCTTATATTTCCTGTAACCGCACTCACTGCGTGTAACTTCTGTTTTAAAAAAAATTAAAGGAAAGGAATATAACTTCTGTTTTAAAATATGAAATGTTCGTCAGATCAAAAGGAAAAGGGATGCCAAATGCACCGGAAGCCCCTTTTAACGACAACATACAAATCAACCTGCGCTATAAAGTCAGCGCGGCTTCTTCGGGATCGATTTACGCAAAAAAAACAAATGAAACGGAATCTTTTGTGAAAATCATGTCTGGAAATTTTACCCCGTGTGCTAGAGGTCCGGTGGAGGCTGGGGTATTCCCTTTAAAGCATTCCGATTAGCTTTCACTCGCTTCCGCTGAATTACAAGCCTATTTCAAACGAGTGTATGGCAGAACAAGAATTGTAAAACTATTCCAGTACACTGTACATCAGCAACACTGTAAATATAACATTACATAACCACCTGATGTCATCTCCTACGCCATACTGTCAAACGCTAACGCTAATAAAATAACATCATTTAGGTTCTGACGCTACACAATACCTTTTCCTAACTCGTAGCCCATCTTCAGCATGAGCTTGGACCCGATCCCACGCGTGTGAGCCTCCCAGCCGCAGAACTCCTCGCTGTTCGCCGTGACCGTTCCTTCCTCTTTACCGGAACCGAAAACTGTAGGGAGAGTAAAAAACCAGCTGCGTTTTCATCCACGTGAAATCGCGAGCAAAAGGTACGCTAAAGGGATGAACCTAAACCCGATCGGAGGGATTAAGGCACGGATTCGATGGGGTGGGGGGGGTGGGGCTTTTGAACGTCAAACCTTTGGCGTAGCCTCCGTCACATTGCTCGAGATCATCCTCCGAACCCGAGGAGGAAGAGGAGATCTCGTCCTGCCGCAGAGGAGCAATGAGGCAATCGGCTTCCAGGACAGCTTCCTTCAGCAGCGACGAGTCGAATTTCACAGTGTAGAAGCCTCCGTCGATTTCTGGGAACAGGAAAAGGCCATCAGACATGGCTTGAGAAATAGAACACGTTTAGGATTCTGGTCTCACTTAAATTTAAATGTGTACGGATTAGAATCTGACGATGATTCTGACGTCTGTATTCTTTTAGAGGAATCTACACGGACATCTTAGAGATGACTCGTGACCGGGGCCACATTCCACTTATTAGAGAGACTAACGAGTGTTATGTCATTTTACTCCTGCAAGACACGTGTTAAGGAGACATCCTGACCGCAAACGCTCACCGCAAAACTGTCGTACGTCTCCGAGACTGACGTCCATCACCGCAATGAGGACATCAGGAGACGTTTACGCCATTATTCAAATAGGGAAAGTTCTGACCAGGACGGTTTGAGAAACCTGGCTACCTCGAGACGTGTGCGCGGACGTGCGGAGACCTTCTAACAAACGTCACATAGTGACGAACAATAGTGGTAGTAATCGTAGTAGAATACGACACGATACCACAGCCGTCTTTTCCTAGAGCCTTTACGTTGAGCTGGGATAGGTTCTGAGTGACGAGGAACCCTGGTAGGTAGAGAACACTTGCAACTAGCACCCTATTTCACCACTTCCTGAAACTCCAGAACAACATGAGAAACAGGACTCGAGTGCATGGTGACGTCCAGGTGGTGGCAGCATATGGAGTGGCATGCCTCGGCGACGTTCTTCGTGGTGTGGTATGTCACGGTAGGGGCTGGGTGATATGAACTTGGGCAGAATCCCTGTATTCATCCACATGGTCCAAACGCAAGAAACATCTTGCCAGCGCTTTTCTTTACACTTAAGTGTTCACTAAAGCCTAGTTCACTCTTCGGCACAAATCATCGCGCCGCTCGTTTCTGTCCTACGTCTCTCTTCTATGGGGCAGTGGTGGTTAGGCGGTTAAGTCTCCGAGTTACTGATCAGAAGGTCGGGGGTTCAAGCCCCAGCACTGCCAAGCTGCCACTGTTGGGGCCCTTGAGCGAGAACCATAACCCTCTCTGATGGGCTGTTCCATGGTGGGAGCACACAGGAGCCGGTTATCCAATTAAGTAAGCATCCTGATGCCACTGACCATTTGGGATAAAAAAAAAAAAAAACACCCACAGAAGCTGCAAGGCAGGACTTTGGATGGCAGAACTTCAGAGGCAATGGAAACAACGAGCACAAGAAAAGGGAGGGTCTAAGTTGAACAGAACAGAATCCCCCGGGAGAACCTTGCACCATGAATAGTGGACTTTCAATCTACAGGTGGAGGTGTGTATCAGGACTGTGATCCTGTGGAGTTTTGGGATAAGGTGGTAAGATATGAAGCTTGCAGGACGCAACTGATTTATCATGGTCAGGGTCGCTGTGGTTTAAAATACTTCTCTATTTTTAGGAATAGACCCAGCTGACTTCACAGGATCCCACAGTGCTTTTATAACCATTTGCACCTCTGCTTACATCGGCTCCTGTTTTCGTTTTTAAAGTCCAGCCTGCCACTCAGACGCAATATTTATCTGATAAACAAATATCTATATCGATTAAAACGCCCGTTCACACAGTGGCCGGCTCTCGGCTCGGCCTGTCTCTCTGGGTTTTCCTACAGCCGGTGAAAAAAAAAAATCACTTACGTCACGGTCACTTTTGCTTCTATAGCAACCATGTTTGTTTCGTCAACACTAGTAAAAGGTCAGAAATGTTGGCCAAAGCCGACTCAATATTTACGGCGCGACCTCGAAAGTCTACATCCTGGGCTGCCATGTTTACTCAGAATCTGAAATCGTGTGTTGACCAAGGTGGCAAGTGCTGGCCGAGGTGGACTCGTTAACGCGAAGGTTCTCACCAAAAACGCTCGCGAAAATATTAGGTAGCGCGAAGATAACCCAATAGGTTAGTTCCACACCCGACTGCACAGTTATAAGGCGAAAAATAACCGCTCTCAAGCTTCAAGAGTGTCAAGAGAGACACGTGTACCATGCACAGTGTGCATGAACCATAAAACAGCATCAATTCAGAAGGTTACGGTGTATTTACGGTGAATTTTTTTATTTAAAGTGCACCTATTATGCTTTTTCAGATATTCCCTTTCATGTTGTGTGTTATAGAGCTCTTTGTGAATGTAAAACATCTGCAAAGTTTCAAAAATCAAAGCTCACGACTACGAGTTTTCGACTCCCGAAAGAAAGAACCGATTCTGAACAGCTGAATCGAGTCGTCAGTGATTCCAGACTTTACTTCCTGTACTGACCTACGTAGGTTTGTAACAAAAAACCCCGCCTCTGGTCTTCATCGGCTGCTCGCTGACAGTGCTAGACCAATCACAAGAGACTGGGACATCGGACCAATCAGAGCAGAGTATACCCTTTGAAAGGAGGAGTTCAGAACGAATCCTTTTGAACGGATCATTTAACGAGTCGTTTGTGACACTGGGGGGAAAATGGTAATGCTGCAGTTTAAATCATGAGCACGTTAAAGTATTTCTTTGGACGTAAATCTATTGCTCGAGACCTTTAAAACCCTAATAGGTGCGCTTTAATATCAATCTCTGCTTCAAACACCAATATCTTATGACGCCCTGTTAAACAAAAAAAAAAAATAGTTAGATTATGATGGCAATCCTGAAAAAAAAAAAATCGAATAGCGAGTGTCGCAGGCTTCACGATTCACTTCCCTGACTTAACAGGCTCAACTCTCAGAACCTTTAGCCATCTAAATTGCCAGACGTCAAGGTCAGGATGCTCGTCAGCCAGATTTCTCGCTCAGTAGGCGTTTACCTTTTGCAAATGGGCTTGAAACCCGTTTCCTTAATCTGCACACTTGCTGCTAGAATCTCGACGAGCCTCTCGTCCAGCCAAATTCACTTCAGCAAGAAGCAAAATACCTCGGATTAGTGCTGAGCAAATGGGTTACAGAATCAAACGGTGATCGCAGGGTCAGACAATCTGAGAATAATAATCAGACGTGGAAGAAACCAAATCGGTGTGGGAGAGCTTGAGGATGAACCCCACAGCAACGTAGATCGGTCTGCGGTCACGACCTGCTAAGCGGATAGCGCAAGAACATGTCGTAAGTATGAACAAGAAGAAAGATGGCTGCATGGCAGTGGTATTTATTGTAACCACTACATCAAACATCGCTACATGACTTCGTTGGAAGGCACAAGGAGATATCCAGTTGTTTCCCATCAGCCCCGGTGGTTAAATGGGGTGAAACAGAACTTTCCCAAAAACTACTCTATAAAAGCGAGTAGACATGTTTTGCGCACAAAAAAAAAAAAAAATAAAAAAAAAATTGTTGACGGTTCTGGTACGACCCTTTGAAACAGTTGAAAAACTCTGACAAGATGAATGAGGAGTTGTACCTGTAATTTTGGCAGGATACCAGATGCCATCCTCATGCTTGGCTAAACAGGAGGACCCCTGCTGCATGTTTGTAAGATCTGCTTCGAGAAAGTCCCTCAGCTCCGACACGTGCACCACCTCCCCATGAGAGAACCTGAATGAAGACAAACACACACCATCGCTTCGTGGTGATTTCTCAGCACAGCAGTGACAATAACAGGGCAGTGGGTGTGGCACTGATCCGAGTGGATTAAATACAACGGTGTCACCGGGGTTTTTTTTTTACTAGAGATGCACCGAATAATTTTTCACGCTGCGGGCCATCGGCCGAGAGTTTAAAATCATCCGATGATCAGGGCCGATTATATCCTGTCGATCAAAAGAGGGCGGGGAAAACACATCGTATTCGTGCTGTGTGTAAAGAAGATCTCTCGTGTGGAATGATGATAAAACTGCAGTGTGTAATCTCTGCACTGATAAAATTGTACACCGGACGCTGCAGCAGTGAAGCGCGAGTTTCAGCGTTGAGTCTAAATTATACACCCCCCCCCACCCCGCTGAATTAAAGCTCAAGCACGCCGCTCAAAGATTTATATACAGATGAGTTGACAAAAAAGAATATATTGTACAGAAAATATATTTATAGAGTAGTACATTTCATATCCAGTTAATGTTAATATATAAAAGCTGATATTATATATGAGCAGTTTGATGTTAATGATGGAGGAGAAATGCTCGTGTTTGTGGAGAGTGAGTGTGAGACTAACAGGAGGATTTTTACAATTCAGTCAATGTTAATATCAATTACTAACATTCAATAAGTTCATAATCTTACTTTAATCTTCAGAATGGAGTTCACGTGTTCGTGTTAATTAGACTCATGTGTTCATGTTGACGAGACCAGCTACTGTGAAACTACTTGTGGAAATGGAGAGAATAAAGTTCTTATTTAGATTTCTTTCAGAATTCATTTAAAAGAAGGTATAAAAGGCAGAACTATCGGTATCGGCCGATATCGCTCTGAAAAATCGGTTATCCGTGAGAAATTTCGTATCGGTGCATCTCTAGTTTATACATTTATGGCATTTGGCAGACACCCTTATTATCCAGAGTGACTTTTAAATACCTCAAAGTCACTCTTGGGTTCAGAACGGTCAGTCAATCAAAAATAAAGCAACAACAGTTAGAACAAAAACAAACCGACAAAAAAAAGCTTATAAGGAATCCTTTTTCGGTTTTATTAAAATGTGGAATTGTTCAAATATTTAGTAGAAGTTGCTCGACAGTCGGCCGCTGACGGACCTGACCTCGTTTTATTATCTGGTTTCTGGAGGATTTCAAAAAGACCTGTTCGTCAAAACCAAACGAACCTTGTATGTTAGGCATGAAGATCTCGCCACCATTTTACGCCGTAAACCCTGAGCTATGGGAACAGGAACCGACTTCATAAACCTCCACGTGTCTGTCAGTCAGTACGTTTACACGGACAACAATAATCCAATACTAATCCGATTTAAGACGATACACGGATTAAGAGACTAGCATGTAAACAGCGATTATTGATGACCTTAATCCGATTAAACTCATACTCGTAGTAAATACGAATGGAATTAAGACGTGTGGAGAATTCCTGTTGTAGTCATGTTACAGACATGTACACACCTTAATCAGACTATTAACGTCGTGTGAGAGTTTTCACCGCAACAAGAGAGCACGGCTGTGTCCCAAACCGGTCGATTTACTTACTAAATACATGCATCTCAGCTACTATATAGACGGTAAGTACGCGGTTTGGGACGCAGCCCACGGCTTCAAGCAGTTGTCTATTAGCTGCACTTGAAGCTTTTCGTAAAATTAAAAATAAACACACCCAGAACTGTATATGGGACCATAACGAAGACCAACTGTACGTCGATACGTGAAATTCTGGAGGGACGTCGGACGGCGTGGGGACGTAATGACGTGTGATGTTAATCCATCTATGTTCTATAACACGTAACACCTGAACATGAAAGGATTATTCTAAAAGCGACTCATGTAAACACCTTAATCAGAATATCGCCTTATTCAGAATAAGGTCAATAATTAGTTTAAACGCAGTCAGTGTCCGTGTTTTAGTGCGTTGTTACAGAAAGACTGTATTCACAACGTGACTTAAGTTTAACTTACACTTGCGCGTCATTCTGTGCAGAAGCGAGATTAGGTTTATGTGGATGTGTAAACGTCCGATTAATCTCACACGTGTGTATGGGATGCGTTCGGGTGAGTTAGTAAAGCGCTTCAGTCTAATGCTGTTCATCATACCATTTACACGTTAAAGGTATAATATTTTAAAATGCTACTTGGTACGCTAGCAACTTATCTGAAATACAACGCCGGAGTGTATAGTCACAAGGAGCTTTAGAGCTGACCAATCAGCAGCACCGCTTTACGCCCTCACATAGTACAGGTGCACACTGTAGTGCCTCGCTACTGTAGTGTCTCTTCCTTTTCCCCCTGCTTTCCATACGCTGAACTCACACTTTCACACTCTCCTTTCACGCCTTGCTCTGTTCTACCTCCCTTCCCGTCCTTTCGTCATTCCTTCCATTAATTCCATGCACCCACTGCGCGTTCCCCTCAGAGGATTTAC